CGCCGCATTTGGAGGAAATTCTTGCATCCATCATTGACGGATGCAGCGATGAATCTCTCCGCAGACTTCTTGAAAATGCGTTACGTCAGAAGAATGAAAAAGCATTGAATGTTCTTCTACGTGCGGAATTTAACGGCGATGCCGTTGACTTGGAGGAATGTGTTGACATGCACATAGAAAATAACAGAGAGCAGATGATACTGGTGGACTTTGTGCCAAGCGATGTACCACTTTCGAGGTTTTTTTACGAGGCATCTCAAGGTTTGCGCCAATTGAGTGAATGGGTAGTGGTGCCATTTTTACAGAAGACATGGAAGAAAGATAAAGATTTTACGCATAATATTGAACTACCGCCTGTATGTTTACATGACCTTGTCAATGCGTTTATTCTTCGTCTTCCTGGGACATTGAACCCTTGCGCAGCCACTGACGGAGCCTCATCTCTATTTGATGTTGTTCTGGAACGCATTTCCTTTGGGGTTGTGCATCTCGTGGAGGCAGTGCGGACGCTGATTATTCGTGATTGCACTGGGCCTTTAGACATCATTGTTTGCTCGGCCAGTCGTGTCATTATGGAATCATGTGAGAATGTAACTTTTCAAACTGCCTGTGGCTCCTTTACTGCCAGGAATTGTCATGGCTGTCACGTTGCACTACACGTAAATACTCCACCACGGTATGAAGACTGTACATTTATGCAAGCATCGACGCTTAACATCACCTCGAAAGACTTTGAGAGCCACTTAGCACGTGCGGGTGTAGAAATAGAAGTGAACCTTTTTGATCAGCCAATAGTGCAGTGCCTCCATGCAGAAGGGGATGTGCCTTCCTCTGACAAGGTGCCCGAGATGGATGCTGTCGATTCAGTGGAACGGGCGCGCTTAATACTTCAACGCCCCGTTACCTTTGTTGGCCCCCTTTCAGCCACGTGCCTTGGAATTGAGGATGCATCCTTTATTGGCTCCTTGGAGGACCGTGTCAATCATGAGGCGAAGGCAAGGCCGTGCTATGACAGGGATATCATTGCTGCTTTTTCATTTCTCTTACAGCGGCAATTGATGCCGTCGTTAACTACGCATGATTCTTTGAAAAGTGCGGAAATTGAGGAGCCACGTTTTGTCCGCTTAGAATCCCCGAGACTCACGTTGATGGAGAGCCAGCAGGTGGAGGAACGGCACTTTGATCCACTTGTTGAACGCATTGCGGATAATGCGGGAATTGACTCTTTTGATGCCGTGGAGGAGTCGTCTCTTCCTCCTGCTTTAAAGCCTGGGAGTGGTGTGCCTCAATTACCCGAACACAACCCGGTCACCGGCACGACGGATTTGAGTCCTCGGGGTAATGGCTTTCGGGTTTTTGGGAACGACAGCGGGAGCGAGCGCAGTAGGGTGCCCCATGACGATTATCCCTGCGGCGATGAGGAAACCGTTGATGTTGTTGATGCTGCCATGAGCGTTCCCGATGATGACGACGACGAGGGTCCGACGACTGACCGAAAATGGTGTGAGATAGGTGGGGACAAAACAAGTGGAGAGCACCAATACCCTACGGAAGCCCAACCAGTGAGCCGCGATACATCTTTGCCTCAAGGCACCTTTACAGATACTCGGTTGAGTGCAGACGAAAGGGAAAGCGCCATGGACCCTGTGACGTACCGCTCTGCTCCCAGAGATGGATCTGTTCTTGATGATCGCAAAAGTGCCACAGAATTTATGGCAGCGCCTCTCCGTCGCACGGGATGCGAGAGTGCAGGCGAACAATCCCCTGAGGTCGTATCCTCAGCTCACGGGAAAAAGGGTATTGCACATGTTTCGTTAGCAACCTCCCCTCCTTGCCGAGAATTGGCTCTGGAGGTCAATAACAGCAACGAAAAGAAAAGCAGCTGCAGCAGCGACAAAAATGTGAAGAAAATGAGTATGCCGGAGGAAGTGTTCTTGGGAAATGCCCTTTCATTTCAAAATCTTATTCTCGGGGTTCACCCCGATGAAGAGGAGGAGGTGCGCTCCGTTCTTTCCAGGGTGGCTGCCAGTCGCGAAGCCATGGCGTCTGCCCGGCAGGCAAGCGGCTCCTCCACGATGGAGCTTCGGAGGCGAGTGGCGGAGGCCGTGAAACGGATTCAAAGTAATTTGAAGTGAGTGTCGTGGACAATGCCGCTGAGGCCACACGGAGTTTTTTCAATGTGGGGGAAAGAAAAGAAAAACATAATAAAAAAATTTATTCATCCCCCTCCCATTCCTTCCTTTTTGTTCTTTTCTCTCCATGCCCTTTTTTTGGGGGAAAAAAAGTGGTGGGTGTTGGCTTTAAAAAAAAAAAAAAAAAAAAAAATTTGCTTCTCAAATGGGCACGAATGGCAGGAGTGTGAAAGTGGTGGCAGGAAGACAAAAGTGGTTGGATATGTTCCACAATTTATATGTTTTTACTTTCGAAACTGAGAAAGAGGGCGACAGATGATGTCCTTTGAATGTCTTTTTTTTTTTTTGCTGCTTGTGTTGGTGGGGGGGTTCTCGCTTCTCTCACTTTGATGGTTGATCCGCTGCAACCCCGTTGAGCCCACTGCCTCAATGCAAAGAAACGGGCGGGACGTGTCTACACGTTTATTATCATTATTATCATTATTATTATTATTATTATTGTTTTAGTGTATAGTTGTTGATGTTTTGAGCTCCAGAGGGCTTAACTGATTTCGCATGTGGCCACATTCTTGAGGGAGGGTTTCATTGCGGACAGCTGTCGCCATTCGAAATGAAATGTGGGAGTTCCATACAACAACAGAGAAAAAAAAAAAAAGGAGAGCACTTTTCGTCCCACACACACACAAAATCATTAAAGGAATATAAAAACTAAAAACTTCACATCACAACGAGAATAGGGAAAGCAGGGAAATCATTCTATTCTTTTACTCTTTTTTTTTTTTTTTTTGTCTGTGTGTGTGTGTGCTTGTGATTTCTCTCTTGTATCTGTGAATAGGAGAGGTGATGCTGTTGATACAGCAGTGCGTACAGATAGATTGCACCCTAGAATGAGATGACGCATAAAGATGAGAAGAGACCGGGGGTCAATTCCCGACGTAGAAGAAGAAGAAGAAGAAGCGAGAGGGTTAGTGTTCATTGTGGGTAGAAGGGAATTTATCAACCCCGGACCAGCTGAAACGGAGAGTTGGTTGCTGGGAAAACACAATCGTCAGTTTTGCATGAAAAACTACGCCCTGCCACTACTACCAGCAGACACCTTCCTTTTTTTTTTCTCTTTTTTTTTTTTTTTTTTTTGGCGTGTTTCAAAAATATTAGCGCTGGCTTTGTACCGTGTGTGAAAATCATAATATTCCTCCAAAGAAATAAAGAGAAGGTGGAAAGCCGTAAAAGAGGCAGAAGTATTTGTTTGTGTATGTATGCATGCATGTATCCCTTCTCTCTCTCTCTTTCTCTTCCTCTCTCTCTCTCTCTGCAATATTAGGCTAAAGACGAGGTGGGCTTCATGGGGTTTGCGGATTACCTGCAGAAGCAGCGATGCCCGAGAACCGAACGAGAGGAAGTGATAGAACCGCCACCCATGGCCCCGAGCGATAGTACTGTGGAGAATAGGAAAGACGGCCATGTCGTAGTCACTTCGCCAGTCAATCTTAGGATTGTGGTACCAGAAGATAATGGGATGGATGACTGCAAACATCGTTCTGTGATTCATATTGGAGATAGCAGCGATAGTGATGACGATGATTTAAATCTGGAGGAAGAAGGGAAGAACAGACAACGTGGGACCCTTCTGCTGGCGAAGGACCCATCACCATCGAGTGATGGCCAAAACGATAGTAATATGAACAATAATAATAGTAGCAGTAGTGGCTATTGTCATGGATTTATTTCATCCTCAACGAAGACGCCGAGTGTTGTGTGTGTTCCGCCGGTCAGCGCAGTGCGCTGGAACTGGTGGACGGGTTTTGGCATTAATGATGATGAATTGGAGTTGAATGGGAGTACGCTGGATGAACCAATGACACCGCAGAGCTACTCCTCAATGCGGTTTCTCGGTGATTCCAACCAACTTAACCGCAGCGCAGTGATTGGCAGCCCCAAAACTAGTACCACCAGTGACAGTCATGTCCAGGGGCGCCTTCAGCAGGACGGGAAAGTTGGTAATCGCACCACAACACGTTCAGAGAGCTCGCAATGTTCACTAAGCAACACTTTTAACAGACAATTCAGTGAACTGCAACGAAGTGGGATGGCGACGACACCTTCAGCGTCGACGGAATTTCGTTCACGAGGCACTGGAAAACCACCCTTGCCAATAACGGTTTATTGCTCCATAGAATCGGCTCCTCACTTTACAAGGTCGCCGTCGCGGAATCCGTGTGGTTTTTTTGAGGCATCCAGCGCGAGGGAGAGCCGTGGCTTTAAACCCCTGACTGATCTTGAACTCAACTCTCTTCCACCTGAACCAGCGGAGCTAACGAGCGTTAATGTTGGTCGAACCCGTTCCTTTTCCTTCAAGAAGAACGTTGTTGAGTGTCGTTCTGCGGACGAGCAATTGTTGGGGAATCATCAAAAGCTCCTCAATGGAAAGTATGTCATTTACACCAAGCGGTACCTTGGCGTAGGTTCATACTCCAAGGTGCTGCTCTGCTATAACCTTGAGGACAAAGTATACTACGCGTTGAAGGTGTTTAATCGAATGAAATTGCAAAGAAAGGTGCTGGGGGTGGACTGCGTCCTGCATAAGGTGCATTCTGAGATTGCCATCATGAAGAAGTTGCGTCATAACAATATTGTAGCCCTCGCTGAGGTGATAGATGACCCGAGGAGCAGAAAGATTTATTTGGTTTTAGAACTTGCCGAACGTGGCGAAATTATGTCTATGAGAAATGATGGCACTGTAATTCCCATAGATGACAATAAGGCACTTCCTGAGAGTGAGGTTGTACGTGTGATGCGTAGTGTTGTCTCCGCGGCAATGTACACCCACCGTCTCGGTATTGTCCATCGTGACATTAAACCCCAAAATATTCTATTGACTTCCGATGGGGATGTAAAACTCTCAGATTTTGGCGCCTCCATTGTCGTGGATAACTCGGCTATGCGTGTACGGCGTGAGGGAAGTGTGGCTTTTATGCCGCCAGAGATGTTGGTTTCGTCTCTGGTACATGTGGCGCCCTCTTGTATACGCAAGCCTAGTATTAGTAGCAGCAGTCACGGAAGTAGTACGAGGGTGATACCCACGACATCATCATGTTTATTAAAAACGGAGAAAGTAGATAAGGGAATTGGGACCATGTCTTCAGTTTCTTCGAGGGAGGACTCGTTTGGGGAGCAATGCAACCCTAAACAAACAGAAGTTGGTCCGGAATCAAACCTTGCGGTTTCCGCTCGCAGGTCGGCAAGGATAAATGTGGACTCCTCAACCAGTGTCCCACAACCCACCCCTGAGGTGGATCTCTTCAAGGCAGACGTTTTCTCTATTGGCGTTACTGCCTTTGTACTACTCATGGGGAAACTTCCGTGGCGTGCGCATGATGTTCGTTCGCAATTGAATGCTATTCTTGCCGAACCGGATCCATTTGAAGTGGAATTTCGGAAAGCCTGCGAGCAAACCGAAAACGGCAGCAAATCTCACATGAAGAATATCTCTGAACCCGACTCATTGCTTCTTTTGGAAAAAGATGATCCGTTAACTCGTGTGGAGACGATATACACAGCTGATGACACGATATTGGATCCATATAAGGAAGAGAGGATGACTTCAAGGGACGGTGGACTCCAGGGCGGGGACACGAATGACATGTGCCCGCTCGAGGCTGAAAATCCGCGGGGGTGCGATTCATTTACATTACTTCCCCCAAATGAAGAGATTTCATTCCATCCCAAGCGAGATGAGGATTTAATGGGCTGCATGCATATCAACGAGCGCGAGGATGATAAGAAAATGCCGGCAAACGATCCATCCAGAATGAATCCGGTATTAAACGTCTCCCATGCCTCCAGCTGCCGATGGGACACGCAGCAAACATGTAATTTTATCAATTCTTCCAATGCCAACGCCGCAGCAACCGATGCTGGTTGGGAGCATATAGAAAAGACAAATGAATTTGTTTCTCAAGCAGATCAATTCTCCACACAAAGCGGTGGTACAGCAATAAACTCTGTAGCTTTAGGCAGCACCGCGCAATGTTGCCAGTCATCGGGGGGATGGCTGGACTCCACAATCAGCGGAAGTCCGTTTTCTCCACTCGTTTTGGGGACGCCAAAGAGCTTTCAGCAAACTTATGTGAGCACCGTGGAAAATAGTGAATTCACTATGAGGACAGCGACAAGTAGGAAGGTTTGGATTGATGGTGATAGAAGCCAACCTTCATTACCGACAAAGAACATAAAAGGCTCTATCTCGGCCAATGCCATTGATTTTATTTGCTCTTGCCTGCATGTGGATCCTGCGAAGCGAAGTTCGATGGAGAAGCTCTACCACCATCCATGGTTACAGGGCATAATGACAAATGAGGAAGAGAAGATGAGTTCGTTGGATGGAGCTTCAGCAATTCCTTGCCCTGCTGACATGCAAACCGGAAAACAGAACGCAAAAAGAGGGGTTGAAGAAAAGAGCCTTTCTAATTAGCTTTTCGATGATAAGCAGGCTTGACCAAAGGCTACAGGCAGGAATGATAAGGTGGCAATTGCAGCAATCGATGCAACCAACAACAAGGATAAGAAAGACTTAAAAATAAAAAACAACGAGCGTGCCACCAGCGGTGAGGGCAACGACGACATGGATATCCCCTTTTGGTGCTTGAAAAATTATACCGCCTGTAGATGCCGGCGTTTCATACTCCAAAGGTCGTTTCCAACCAAAAAAAAAGAAAAAAACCGACATCATCCGATAGAGTGAACACCGACGAATCCGATGGTTTGACGGTGGAAGTCCTGGTGGTTTTATTGGGTGCTGACGAAGGCTTCGGAAGTTTGCTGCGGCAGAGATGACATCTGCATGAGGCCGCATGTCGTGCCCGATCAACAGGCTGGTGACCCTTCACTGACGATAACGAACATTAAAAAAAAAAAAAAAAATTGGAGGAAGGCGGCAACCGTGTGGCGATGAACGAAGACGATACGGAACTGCACGCTTGTGTTTGTTTGGCAGACCTTTTTTTTTTTATTATTTCCGACTGGCTCGGAGAATTACAAAATGGATTTGTGGATCTTCCGTACATGCTGGATTGACAGTAGGATGAAGGAGGAGAAAACGACAAATAGAAGGAAGCAATTGCCGCCGATGTTCTTTCTTTTCTTTTCTCTTTTTTTTTTTTTTTCTTTTTTTTTTTTCTATTATGTTCGGAGTGAAGGGGTAAACTGGCAACGACAAGAAAGAAAAAAAAAAAAAGAGGACTGGGAAGGAGAAAACAGGTCCGTAGAGTGGGGGAGGGGGGCGAGACAACCCAAAACGATGTATAAAGGGATAAATTTATATAATATTTACTTATGTGTCTAATAGTGAAACCAAGCGGAAGCAGAGACATCAGCAGAAGTGCGTAAATTCTTCTTCGAATTTGGAGACCTCTAAGTACTGGAGGTGAAGAAAGAAAAAAAAAAAATTGAACTGCGAGAAAGCCAAAAAAAAAAAAAAAACCGAGTTGCCCTTTGATTCGGGATCTACGCTTATTATTGGTGTAAGAGCAAAGACGAAGATAATAATAAAAATAAAAAAGAAGGATAAACTGGAATACGTAATTGTGCGAAGAGGAAATTCTTACAAAGAAAACGAAAACAAAAAAAAAAAAAGATTAAACGTTGGGCCAATAACATTTATGAAAGAATATTTATTTATTTATTTATTTATTTATTTATTTGTCTCGCTTTTTTTTTTTCTTGTCGTTAAATTCTCTATTACACTCTGCCGTATAAACATGCGGCCTGAAAGTGTCCCCAGACTTTGCTAACCAAATGAGGGATTTGATTGCCTCTCCATCCCAGTTTTGTTACATATTAGTTGAGAAGACTTTTAAAAATGGTTGCTTCTCTCCTTGCATTTTTGGGAATGGAAGGAAATTAGGCACGCTCTTTGTAAAGCACGTCCGCCAACATGCTCCGAAGTGTTTGAGCTTCACGTCTATGACTTTTCAAGGTGAATCTTGACGAGCGGAATTGGCCGCGTTGTATCGGATAGCGCAGATGATAAGATGCAGTCCGATGACGCGGTGTGCGGGACGCGGCGGGCATGCACACTCCGGGCTGGCCACAGTTTTTGGCGAGTCATCTCTCACCACGCATGAACGCGGCGAGGGCAATTGGACGGGGGCAGGGCATGCTAACCACCAAAAACTTGAATTTTCGGCACGAATATGCCCAGGCCACCGGGGATCACCAGCATCCTTGCGCTCTCTTCAATGCGAAGCTGGCGGCCCAGGAGAAGAGGGACTCCGTGCGACCCTTGTGGAAGAGCTCTCCGAGAGACGTGCAGGAATTTCGGGAAAAGGAGACGCGGTTGTTGACGAGGGAGAGGCTTGGAGAAGCCAGCGCCGCCCGAGTTCACCTCCCAACCGCGGGGTGGCAACTCCCTGGTGTCCAAGCGTCGCCCTGTCCCGTGGGAAGCTCCTAGCATCCTCGTTTTTGCAACGGCGGCGGGGACGATGGTGGTGACCGTGAGCCCCCGAATGCATGCGTTACTCCACTTGCCCAGGGCTCCGCATTCACGACGCAGTCAAATGGGTCCCTTGTTCCCAGAGTGGGGCTTGCAGGCTCTGGAGTCGCTGCTGCACAGGGGACCGGTAACTGGAGAAAATTTTTGCACATGTTCAGGAGGCGCTCGCGAGTCTTATGGGATGGGTAGGGTGGCCTTAATGCGTCGTCTTCGGCAGTGTTGAACTTCAGAGACGCCCTGCGCATGATAACATTTGGGTGACACGCCAAAGCAATTTCATGATGGGGCCGCGTTCATGTTTGCACAGGACTATGGACGAGGCGGGCGCGTTGGCAAATTTTGCCCAGCCGCTGACCGGGAAGGAGCAGCGAGCACGATTTTCAGGTGGCCAGCTGTGCGGGTTATTTGGGCAATAAGCATCTTGGGGCTGCTTGGCGGCAATGGGCGCGCACGGGGGCATCCTTTTGCTTGGATTTGCGCGCAGTCGTTTTTGACTGAGCGCACCCACAGAGGCGGGACGGTTTGTTTTTTGCCGCGTCGCGGTCACCCGCACGGAGGCACTGGTGTTGGAGAGGAGGGTTGCCGAACGTGCCCGGGGTTGCCGAGCCACCATCGGCGACTGCGGGTCAGGGGGCTGCAACGCACACTTTTATTGGCGTGTCGTTTGGTCACTCTTCGCGACTTGGGGGTGTTGAGCGCGGTGACTGCTTTGTATTTGCGTCACACGCCTCTTCTGTGCGGGGCCAGAAGGTTCATCTTGCCTCATTGGCGTTTGCGGAGCGTTTGCCGCAAAGCATGGATGTGTGTGTGTGGACAATGTCTTGTTGCGGGGCGCCGCCTTGTGAAGGGGCGGTGCGGAATTGCGCGCCTCTGCACGCGGGAGTGCGATTCGGCACCGTTTTTTTTTTTTTTTTTGGCATTTACTTTTTCTCTTCACACGCGCGGTCGCCCATCACGTGGCAACGTCTTTGCTTCCAATGACGGCCTGAGGAGGGAGAACGGAGACGCCGCCGCGTTTTTCGCGGGACACGAAAGGCACCCACGGCGTGGGCTCACAAAGAGCCCGGCTGGTGTAGATTGGGACCTGAACCATTGTGTCTGCTGGTATTTTGGCGTTGAACGGTTCTCGTTCTTGCTGGGATGCTGGGCACACTGAGCCCAACTGTGATATTCTGTTGTCTTTTCTCCTTGTGGGAAGAAGGGGCAAGGCCTCCACGAGGGTTATAGCCTAAGTGGATGTGTGTTTTGCCAAAGGATATCTTTGCTTTACTTTTATGAACGATGTTTGTGCGTTTTTGTGATCAATTTTGTTTGTTTGCTTGCTGTAATTGTGTGTGCGAGTCTTCATTCCTTCTCTTGCTTGCTGAGGATGGAGCGCAAAAATTTAAAATGTGACGATTTGGACACGCGGTGCGGCACCCAGCCACGGGGAGGTCGTCCGACATGTTCGAGCCTCAGTGATTGTATCGGCGTGAAAAGAGATGTGTCCGTTTTCCCCTAACACTCAGTGACAAATGCGTGTGCTCCGTTGCACGAGAAGCGGTCATGGTTAGCCCTTACAGCATGACGGCACACAATTTCTGTTTTCAGTGGCGTGTGCGGTTTCTTTTTTGGCTCTTCCGATTGTATACCCTCCTTGCTTTTTGTATGACACCAAGGTAAGAAGCAATGGTACAATTGGTAGATAATCTGTTCCGCATGCGGATGCTGATGGCTGGCGTCTATCTCGCGCTTGGCACTTCGTCCAATTACGGTTTCAGCATCTTTACGGATCATCTGAGGAATAAGTACGGGTATTCGCAAAGCGACATCACGACAATCGGCACAGTCGGAGATTGCGTGGGCTACTTCGGTTTCCATGCCGGAGTGCTGTTTGACTACGTGGGTCCCACAGTCCTGCTTCCGGTTGGGGGTCTCTTTGGATGCCTGGGCTTTGTTCTGTTTGGGATGACATTTGACGGTACAATTAGCAACTCGAGCGTGGCGCTCTTTGCTCTTTACCAGGGAATTACCTCCCTTGGCCTTCCGATGATGGATGTTTCTTCTGTCATGTCGCTGATGCTGCAGATTCCCTTGGAGCGCGGCTATGTTGTACTGATCGTGAAGACGTTCAGTGGACTTGGAACCGCAGTGCTGATGGCGTATTTCAACGGCTGGTTTAAGGCGGCGAACTCTGAACAACCTGAGGAGAACAACTACTCCGGCTACGCGTACTTTGTTGGGGGACAGATTCTGCTGTGCTCTCTCATCGGCGCGTGCTTCACGCGGTTGCCGATGTACTTTCCGTGCTCGTGGAGAAAAAAGCGTCTGAGCAGTGAGGAGGCCGCGGAGCGGGAAAAAACGCTTGACCTGTACATGAGCCAGCATGCCCCCACGCGGCGTCTGCGGATCGGTTTTGCAATTGTCGTTGTTACGCTGATCTTTTCCACCACACAGTCGATCACCACGGCGTACGTGAATACTTCCCGCGCGGGCTACTTGGCGATCTCGATCGTAGCGGTACTGTTGATGGCATCTTTTTCCGTAATTGCGATGCCGTTCCAGTTCTTGGGCCGCTACACGCCCGTGTGTTCCACGCATATGGAGGGCATCGGGATCGGGAAGACGACCACGGAGCCGATGCATGAGAGGACAAACGAAACCGCATCCGAGTCTGCTGTGACTGACGGCAACAACCTTGGCGCGAATGAGGTGGCCGTGCCAGCGCCGCAGTACAGTGGTTCCTTCTGGTCCCACCTACTCACCGTTGAGTTGTGGGCGGTGTGGCTCGCTTGCTTCGGCACGTTTGGTACCGCCCCGGTGATGCAGATGAACGCTGCTCAGATCTATCGCAGCAAGAACAACGGCAATTTTGACACCCGAACGCTGACGCTGTACGTCGCCATCATTTCTGTGGGCAGTGCTGTTGGACGCATGGCCGTGGGGTATCTCGATATGAAGTTGTTCGCGTTGCAGCGTGAGGAAAAGACAAAGACAATGACGACCATTGCGCTTCCCATTGGTCCCCTGCTGTTGGTGGCGGCTTCCCTCTTCTTTGCCGTGCTACCGGGGAGTGCGCTGCTGCCGCCGTTTTTGCTTGGAGCCATGGGCAACGGAGTTGGCTGGGGTATGAGCGTGATTGCTTTACGGATGATGTACTCTGAGGATATTGGCAAGCATTATAACTTTTGTTTCACGTCCGGTGCCGTTGCGTCTATTGCGCTGAATCGCTTCATGTTCGGAGAGTTGTACGATGCGGAGGCGCGCAGGCGCGGTGAGTTCCCCTCATGCAACTACCCCAGTTGTGTGCGAAGCCAGATGCTTATTTTACTGGCTGTGAACGTGGTCGCCACACTTGCCGCCGTGTTTGTACACTGGCGGTTTTCGCGCTTCACTCGGGCAAGGCTGGATGAGCGGGAGACACCGGACTCTCTCCAAGACGGGAATGATACGATCGGAATGGGGTCTGGTGACCAGGCTACTGAGGGGGATCATCTGCAGTCATAGTGGCGATTCTGGCCGCTGTCCGTGGACGGTGCCGCCAGTCCTCCACTCATTGTATTTAATTGTATATATCAGCTTTTTGAAAATGCCTATTGGTACCTGTGTGTCTGCGTGCGCTGGTGTGTATGGGCTTCTGTGGTCAGGGATTTTTGCCCATTACCACCGCTGCCACTGCCATCAGTGCGACGGCCGCGCCGTACCGCCGGTGAAGACGCTCTACAATTGACATGGCTTAAGAGAAGAAAACTCATGTGAATGAAATATCATAAGAAATAACTACGCCCTGCATCTGTTGGTCGTCGCGATAAAGGCGGGGACTCTGTCTGCTTACTGCGTTGAATGTAGCGGCTGTGGGCAAAGCGATGGCACAAGAGGCCGTTGCGAGCATATATTTTCCCACTAACTCGCTGTTGCATTCCACTTTTGGGTCGGTGCACCGTGAAGAGAGTTTTTGGGTATTTGAGTATTTGTTTGTTTTGAAAGTCTGTTTTTTCTTCACTTGGCCTTTTTGGCGGTTGATGTGGAAAGAGCGGCGCATTTCGTTGCACGAGGCTTGTGGAAGGAGTGCGGGACCAGATGGTGCCAAATAAATGAGTGGGAGACTCATATATAAACCTTCTTTTTTTCAATCTATTGATTGAATTTTTTTTCGAGGGCAGGGCGGCGGGTGTTTGTTGTTTTTGTTTTGAAGGATGGCGGCCCTTCCCTGCATATTCGGCGAGCGGGCAGGCCCTGGCTGACGTTTTCTGGAGCGATTCGGCCGACGTGGTTCCATCCGAGTGATCATCTTCAGGCAATTATCCGGCGGTAGCGTGACCCAACGTGAGTCTTCGGCTTTGATTGCCGTGGCCGGTCTCATCCCATCGGACCGTGCTGGCTGGACGTCTTGGTGGGATCTTGCGGTGTGCGGGACGCGGCGGCCATGCACACTCCGGGCTGGCCACAGTTTTTGGCGAGTCATCTCTCACCACGCATGAACGCGGCGAGGGCAATTGGACGGGGGCAGGGCATGCTAACCACCAAAAACTTGAATTTTCGGCACGAATATGCCCAGGCCACCGGGGATCACCAGCATCCTTGCGCTCTCTTCAATGCGAAGCTGGCGGCCCAGGAGAAGAGGGACTTCGTGCGACCCTTGTGGAAGAGCTCTCCGAGAGACGTGCAGGAATTTCGGGAAAAGGAGACGCGGTTGTTGACGAGGGAGAGGCTTGGAGAAGCCAGCGCCGCCCGAGTTCACCTCCCAACCGCGGGGTGGCAACTCCCTGGTGTCCAAGCGTCGCCCTGTCCCGTGGGAAGCTCCTAGCATCCTCGTTTTTGCAACGGCGGCGGGGACGATGGTGGTGACCGTGAGCCCCCGAATGCATGCGTTACTCCACTTGCCCAGGGCTCCGCATTCACGACGCGGTCAAATGGGTCCCTTGTTCCCAGAGTGGGGCTTGCAGGCTCTGGAGTCGCTGCTGCACAGGGGACCGGTAACTGGAGAAAAATTTTGCACATGTTCAGGAGGCGCTCGCGATTCTTATGGGATGGGTAGGGTGGCCTTAATGCGTCGTCTTCGGCAGTGTTGAACTTCAGAGACGCCCTGCGCATGATAACATTTGGGTGACACGCCAAAGCAATTTCATGATGGGGCCGCGTTCATGTTTGCACAGGACTATGGACGAGGCGGGCGCGTTGGCAAATTTTGCCCAGCCGCTGACCGGGAAGGAGCAGCGAGCACGATTTTCAGGTGGCCAGCTGTGCGGGTTATTTGGGCAATAAGCATCTTGGGGCTGCTTGGCGGCAATGGGCGCGCACGGGGGCATCCTTTTGCTTGGATTTGCGCGCAGTCGTTTTTGACTGAGCGCACCCACAGAGGCGGGAAGGTTTGTTTTTTGCCGCGTCGCGGTCACCCGCACGGAGGCACTGGTGTTGGAGAGGAGGGTTGCCGAACGTGCCCGGGGTTGCCGAGCCACCATCGGCGACTGCGGGTCAGGGGGCTGCAACGCACACTTTTATTGGCGTGTCGTTTGGTCACTCTTCGCGATTTGGGGGTGTTGAGCGCGGTGCCTGCTTTGTATTTGCGCCGCATGCCTTTCTTGCGGGGACAGATGGTGGCTGAGGTGGAGGTGGCCGCCGCCAGATTATTTTGTGCCACGGCGGTTTTCTGCACTCACCTGACGGCACATTTGTTTTTCCTGGAGGCGGTGCGCCGGCGCGCGTTGGCTTTGGGCTGAGGGAATCCCCTCGAACATTCGTGAGCCTGGCCTTTCCCGGCGGTTGCTGGTTTTGGCCCCGCGTTGCTTTCAAAATCCTTTTGAACGAGCAGGGAGTCATTGCGCCTCACGGATGCGTCGCCATGCGGTTGGGGCGCTTCTTCAACCCGTGTCTCGTGCAGGCGGAAGCGGACGAAAAGTAAAAATAAAAGGAGTGGGCGAGGTGTTGGTAAAAAAAATTTTCTTTTGTGTGTGTTGTTTTGTTTGGGCCGCAAAGTGCCGAGTAGATTTCTTCTGCAGTTTTGCGTGGCTGCATGCGGTCAATTTGTGAGGAGGATCGGTGTGTGCATAAGAGCGTGAAGGTGCGTCGCATGGTGTTTTTTCTTTTTTGTTCTTTTTGTTGTTTTGTTTGACGGTCTTTGTTTGCAACGCCAACGAGAGCAGTGGAATTTGCTGGTGAATCCCTACATCCACGGACAAATTAGCAAACAAAAGAGGAAAGACACAGAGAAATCGAGAGATAGAGAGAGGTAGAGAGAGAGACCACAAGAGGGAATAAAAAACAAGAGATTTCTCGTGTCATTCTTCAGTTCTTTCAGTAACAAAGGGAGAAGGAGAGCAAAAATTAGAGGTAAATAAAGGTTTACAAGGAAAAGGTGAAACTGTCATTTGGTTTTATCGGTGTCGTTATTCTGTAGTTATTCCTATCTAACCACATATATAATAGAGGCTAAAAGGAACGTAGGGACAGAATTGTAGCTTTTGCGTTAGGAAACGATAATTTTATACTGAACTTGTGCCGAATACCGAGGGACCAAGGGAGAGAGAAATGTACCCAAAAAACAAGCCACTTCCTCCGGAGGCTGCGAGCAGGGCAGCCTGTTTGAGCATCAAGAAGGAAAATGAGAAGGCCAAACAGGCAGCATCAGGAATTGGTGTCTCCGGTTCATCTGCGACTTCTGGGCGTAAGGGACAAAGTGAGGAAAACAGCACTGCCGCATCATCGCCGCACCATTCACCACGATGCAGCGGGCTGCCAAAACAGAACTCAAGAAATTCACCGAAATTACCTATGCCGCCATCGTACCTTGACAGTTTGAAGGGAAGTCCCTTATATGAGAGCAACTTTATCAATGACGGAATGTTTAACGGAGGAGCAAATACGGTCTCTCAGGGGAATGGTGTGTTTAACTCCAATAAAAACCATATGTTTTTGCCTAACTCCATCCTGCCACCACCCTATGAAATTTCCTCAGCAGGTTCAAATGGAGTGGTGGATGGAAAATCTTATGACTACTACTGTGGCAGAGGTGCTTTTCCGCCAGCGCCAATGATGATGCCGCCAACATCCCATCACGTCCCTGCACCTGGAATGTCTGCCGAGGGAGCATATTTTGAGGGACACCAAATGCATGGTTTTGCGGCGCCACCAATGCATTCTATTCCACCTCCACCTTTGCCACAATCACAGCCCCCTATTCCGTGGTCGATGCAAGAGAAGAAGAACCCTAATCCAAATGTGTCACTGGGTATGTCAATGGAGCCACCTTGTTACAATGCGCCCAATGGTAGGGGTATGCACGGTCAGGCATCTTATTACTATGCCCCGAACAATCAAAATGGCACACAAGGAAAATATCGTCGGAACAACCTTCATTCCTCTAATTCTTCCAGGGAGAAGGGTGGAAATATGCGAACAACTGAAGATAGTCAAGGCGAACGGGGGAGTGAGAGAAGTGACGCGAGGCAAAAAGCAATTGACGATCTCCATACCCGTCAGCTTAGCATGGAGAGCAATTTTTCGACTCAGGTACAAGAAAAACATGCTGAGGGACGTCAACAGCAGGATTTATCGTTAGCCTTATGGAGAGAAAATAGGAGTCATTCTTGTTTGCAACATCGTCAATGTGTCAGTCTTCTTGTGCAAGTGATCGTAGTATTGTTAGAGCGTATCACTGAAGCTAGATCTGCACTTCGTGGCAGCAAAGCCGTCAGTGGCGATGAAGTTGTCAGCAACTCTGTCAGTTCTTCAGACACCAGGGAAGTTACCGTGTCTGCGGAGGTACAGCAGGAAGAAGACTTATTGACATTGAAAGAGCAACTGAATGAACTGCAAGATGTCCTTAGTAACCTACAGGAAGAAGGGGTCGGAATGGAGCCGAATCGCCGTCGGCTACTAGATGGCATTATGGCTTTCCCCCAGTTGCTTCCGCTTTCAACGGCATGGTTCAACAATCTGGAGGAGTCGACATCGTCCTCATCTGATGGCAAACCCCTCACCGAAGAGAAATTCACCATTTCCCGTGAGGTGGCTTCTGAAGTGAAAGCCCTCATGAAAGCATTGGATTTTGAAACAACTCGACCAATCACTTTGAGTCTTGTAGCGCCTTCTTTTTTCTCGCTTAACGCGTCGCCCCATGCTACGGCCCTGAAAAAGAACACTACACCCTCTACCAGTGATTAAACCCTTTTTATGTGCGCATGGGAATTTATAATTCCACACGTTACTTGAATTGTTTTCTTCTTTGTTTGCTTTCGATGCGTGCAAATATAAATATATATATTTTTATATATTTCTGTAGGCATGAAGCAATAGCATTGGCGGGAAACCGGGAGGAAATTTTGACAAGAAACAAAAGCTCACAAAATACCGATAATTATTAAAATAAAATTCAAGCTACATGTGTGTTAGCGGTAAAAAGAAAAAAGAAAAAAAAAAAAAGAAAGGAAGAGGTGAAGGCACTTTTGACTGGTGAATTTAAAAAAAAAGAAGAAAAAAAGAAGGGTGCCTAAACGTACCAAAAAAAAAAAAAAGGTGCATAGCGTAAATAAGGTGTAATTTATCAGGTACCCGTGGTCTTTTCATGTGATTTTGGAGGTGATTTGGGGAGGGGAGGGTCTTTATTCGGTGATGACTGTGTTGGACATGCGTGCGTGTATGTGTCTATCTTGTGATGAATTAAGGGAAGGGAGTTGTATGTGATAAAGTCTCATTTCTTGCCTATTCGGCCTTTTTTTTTTTTTTTTTTTGTTTTTGTTTTTGTTTTCTTCTTTCTTCTTTTCCATTTTATTTGTGTGAGTGTGCATTTTGTACGTGTTTCTTTACCTGCGGTAGGAGTTTTTTTTTGTTTTTGTTTTTGTTTGTTGTTGTTGTTTACGGAAGGCAAAATATTAAATTGGCGTATTTCAATAAAAAAGGAGGAAAACACCCCTGATTGTACCTTTACTTCTCCGCAAACTTTTTGAGAGGAACTGCTGCTTTCTTTTTTGTTTTATTGTTGTTGTTTTATGAGAGGAAGAGGAAGAGGCGGGGGGAGGGGGGGGGGG